CTTTTCTTGCCTGTCCAATCTCCCCTCCCATTTTAGTAGTCCGTTCTTAATCCAGCGACTGTTTCATAGGCCTATTTCTTTGTCCCCCGGTAAAACTACGTCACGCATATTCTCTGGGTGGCTTTCACGATCCGGAGTCGATCGTCCATCATTGTAGGTAGACCATCCAGAAACTGCCCCACCAACAGTTGCTATATTGATGAGCCGTTTAATTTAGGCAGCGTCCGGACCAGCAAGTGGCCGAGGTGGACCGCGAATACGAACGGATCCAATCCAACTACAAAACTTACCGCTTTGGGTCGCCGGTCAGCCTCGTTGTCGAACCCTGCAAGCAAAGCATCCCTCGCGGCTTTCCTTTCCAATGCTTTAGACATTTCCGTACACGCCGTACTCCAGCAAGTTAAATTCGACAGGTTGACTTGGAGAACACCCATTTTCATATGAAAATGTTGTAGTAACAAGAAAGAAGGTAGTATCGCTGGAGACGGTCAGCTGATGTAGGGTTTTTCCACTGCTTCTTTTGTCAGGTCCAGTACCATATTGAGGATGCAGTTCGTGTGGTCCTATTGCGTTACCGTTCCAACGCTCTCCTCTATGACCGCACTTACCGTCTGTTCTGGCGTCGGGCCTGTCAGTAAGTGTCGCACCAATGCTTTCTCTTTCGAAAACATGTTTTATACCGGGTTTAGCATGCATGAGTAGGGCGACACGAACTGCACCTGATAAGATGAGTCCAGGATCCTCCTTAACTCGTCCGACATGCGGATCCGGGGGGTTTCTATGACCAGCCATGCGCTGTTCATCTCCTCTCTGCAGCGTATACGCCCCACAAATACTTTGCCGAACTTCTAGAACTATACTGCTGCAAGTGTATGTTGGTGAGCATTGACTGAATTATGATTTGATTATTCGTAGCCACAACCAGCATCACCGTGCGGCCGTTGACTGTGGGTAAGAGGATGTACGCGCACGTCTCTTCTTAAGAGATCATGTGTCAGGCACATATGGATATTGAATGTGCCTTCATCAGTATTGACGAACTTATGCAACGAATGCAGACAATTCGTGGTAATGCTAAAGAGTTTACATCCTTTCGCGCCTCATACATGGATATTCGACGTAGCTAGTGTAAGCATAACGTAGGGCCAAGTGATCGCTCTGACCCAAAGTACCACATACATTAGGCCCACCAGCCAATAGCTCCCCTCTGGTGTGCACTATCTAACATCGGTGGCTTATTCTCTTCACTGGACGTGGTGGGAGCGGTGACGTAATTGTAAAAGGATGTACTAGAGATTAGCTCTTGCAGATATGCTTTGTACTGTTCCCTCACGGTTGCTGTAGCTTCCTGATTACGGATGCTGGAATCCCTTGGAGTGTAGGTGTGGATGTGTTTCTGATTGTTTATATTGCGGAATGCAGATATTAGTCGGTGGTCCATTTCCCGAGTAGATTTGAGTGATCGGTAAACGACGGACACGATACATGCATCGTTGTCTTTCTATCACAAGTTGCACCAAGACAATCGGTGAAACGTGTTTTAGCATCGTCTACGTGTGCATAGCGCATGTTTGTTTTGTAAAAAAATTCACTCTCCCTCCCCTACCCGTTCTGTTTTTCCGGAGAAGTGACCTACCGGGTAGAGCCATCTCAGTTCGGCTGCTACCAGAGTCAGTGACGTTCCGTATGGCAGTTGCATGGGACCAACTGAAGCTTACGATGCCCGGCTTTTCTCCATGGCGGACGAACTCGGAGCCGCCGTCATCGTCATTGACAGGAGTGCAGGCAGGTATGCTCAACGCTTGTCCGCTTATGAGAGGGATATGAGTCGGAGGACTTAGAGGCAGACACTGCAGTGCGGTTGGAGCGTCTGGCCCCCTTCCTCTGCCTAGAAATGAGTCTGAGTTGGCTGGCTGAGGCAAGACCGTGGATATATTAGCCTCCGAGAGTGTGATCCGAGTATTGGGCAAATGCGCGATTGTCTCAGTTTACCCAGTCAACTTCTTCATGAGCACACATAAACAGTTGGCTACTGGACATGTTGGAAATTGGACATGCATGTTGGACATGGCATGTTGGACAAAATTAAACTGCGTCGGCTAATTTGTTTATGTGCTTCACTTCTTGGACTGACTTCCTTATACATTTCGGATGGAACGATCAATACAGTTGGGAGACCTTATCCCCATCCCAAGTGGTTTACCGTAATTCTGCTAAGTACAAGCAGCGTTGCATCATGTTTGAAATACTGACTGTACTTAACTGGTCATGTGCAACTTGTGAGGGTCACTGCAATATCTATGGTCGGCGCTGAGGCAATGCTAAATGTTGGTCACGCGCACACAAGGTTGGCGAGACAGATTGGTCGGCTGATTGGTCAATGGGAGCGGCTTGTAGCCGAAACATGAACAGGCTGGATGTGAGGATGCAGGATGCGGACAATTGACAAACATTTGCTCACAAATTGTTCCATCGTTGCCTTCCAAAGGGTTACATATGAACTAATTTGGGTTTGTTGGACGCCTCAGGGATCTCACTAGCAAACGCAGTTGGTTAAGTAACAACAATGCGAAAAGGTGTTACGCGTTTATGTGGGCACGCATGCCGTAAACACAGCTAGAATTACTGGAAGCGCGATTCGCAGAAAAACTTTCCGCGCAGAATAGCTAAGAAAACAGCGCAAATTGGGGCGATCCGAATGAGTGCAAGCTAACTGTGCTGTCGAAATATGAACAGGCAAAACCTGCACACAAACGAGAAGCGCAAATCGGTGCGGCTGTCCGGCCCGCTAGGGATATCTTTCTGTGTCTATCTGGTGCGGTTGCACCGTCGCTGCCTAGAAGAGGTGGATTCATGTCGCTCGTCTCTTATGTTGCTCGTTTCGTGCAGCACTAAGTACAAAAACTAGGCTGGGTTTACTGGAGTAATAACAGCTTACACTGTTCCATTAGTAGTGCAGCTGCGTAATTTCCTCAACGCATGCACGCAAAGTACGCGAAAACCGACAGAGGCAGGGGAAAACTGGGTTACTCTCCTGGGTAAAAGTGGGCGACACTCATGATAACAAATAGAACGACTTGCATAATCACCTGCTGCTTACCCAGTTCGGGCTGCATTAATGTCACTGCCACGTGGCCTGAACACTAATTTGCTCCCCACTTTTCGCTAATCCAATGAAGATTTTCTGCTCAGTTTACTGTGCCAAAATTCGGTTTCGAACTTAAAGTAAATATATAGATATGTTTTGGCGATCGACACTATCCTTAGTTGAACTGCATGTCCATGTAACAGATAAAATAGACGTAGAAACCATGAGCCTACTGAAAGTATTTGGGTATTTTCCATCGGAACACACACCACGCTGTGTGCACGTGGATGATTTGCAAGGGGAGAACTTGGTCAACTGCACTCAGATTAAACGTGTTGTCCCCTTACGTTACTCTTTTAGAGCCTATCTACGAAACCGCACTGTGGATTTGGCTTCGCAAACGCAAGTTGCTGTTTGCCACTTTTCCTAGTTAAGCAGTTCGGGTTTTGCTTCCTCTGTGGACTACTATGGTGTCTGACATTCTGTCCTACCAACGGTTGTCGCACTCGGTGCAACGTTTAACTGTCAATCCCTGAACGGAACTTGCACTATATCCGCCTTACATTCACAACTTCTGGATTTGCAGTGTCCGATGCGGTACCCGTTAGAGTTTACATTGGCTACCAGGCGGGCCTCTTGTTGTCCTTTGAAAAAGCGAAATACGCCTTAATTGAAGCCCATTTGAAGCAGCCATACTGAATGTATTGTGCAGCGCAATCCCTTTACTGCAACGATGGATTCAGCCGCCTCTTCTGGTTATACATTAAGCCTTTTGTCTGGCGCTGCCGGCCACTACTGGGTGACGGAGGCTTCAGCTTTCAGTCGAAAATCCCAGATTTTAGTCACAGTTATATCATCATTACATGGAGCGTGCAAATAAGGGCGAATTTGGCCATAGATTACAATGGTAAAAGTGTGTAGCATCTGTCATTAATGTGCTTTGAATGGATCTTATTAGGTGGTAACTGAAGTGGTCTTCCAACAAATTCAATATCGTTGGCAGCCAGTTATGTCTACAAAACGGAATACTTTGGTGAGCCGATGGTGTCTCTTGTGAAATGCACTTCACGTCATCATATTTTCGGCTTCCCTTTGGTGGGCACTAAATGTTACATTCATCCAAAATATCTCATCGCTAATGGTTGATCAAACACTAACGAAACGATTAGACTGCACACATCGTACGCAGATGATTGTCTCTTCAGAAACTGTCACCTGCTATTTTGCTTATTTGTCATTAACGGCCAATAGGCCCCTCCCTGTCTCTGCAATTCTGTCAGGCAGATTGATTCACTTGTTACTGTTTTTAGCGTCAATGCAGTTTAGGCCCCACTGTACGGAACTACAGTTTCATGTAACTGAATGTTTTTAATGGAATTCAATAGAAAATAATTCGGTGTACTTGAACCCGTTGGATGTGTACCGGAAGCCAATTCGGAACCTTAGTACCATCAGGTGTGAAACATCACAGACACATTAAGATTTGAATCTGGAAATTGCTGGCACCAATGTATTGGATGAAATTTCGACACTGACACCATCCGGTGCTGTCGTTTAAGTAGTGCAAGGTAGTATTCTCATCCCTACACTTCCACATCGGCTGCGAATACCTTGCCTATGTTCCATATGCCCAAAATCTACTAGCAAAAACATTTTGCTTGAATATGTCTTTATTATTAATCCTGTTATCTTGATTAGTAGTTCATTTGCTTCCGGTTTATTTGGAATACAAAACCAAAGTCACCTCGGATGGAAATATTTCACTGTTCCTCGGTCAGACTGAGTACGATATAATTTATTGTCAAAAGGCCTTGCTTGACTAGCTCACACTATCAATATTGTGATTCCTTTGTTTCACATTGTCTTTACTGTCCTATGCTAACAATAAACCCTCGTTAACATTTTACTATAGAAACGAATTCAGGACAACTTACTACCTACACTTCTATGAAGACCATTCATGTGCGTCATTTTTGCATTCCTACGGAGGTGAGTAAAGCCACACGCTAGCACTACGTTCGTTACAGCGCGCAGATCACAAATTCAGTGACAAATCGATTAGTTTCTAGGCATGGTTTACTCTGATACACTTCAGTAACGTCCATCAATTCTAAGTGACTCGAGTCGTGAGCCTCATAACTCGGTTGTGTTTTAACGGGATTCTAAGGTAACAGGTATTTCTTCAGGGGAGGCGACTGCCAATAGGTTGACAAGGGAATTTGGACCAAACCGTTAGTTGCCACCACTTGGATCCCATTGGGGTGATCACCTGGCATGCGAGGTAAACGATAGAGTGAAATAGGGAAAAGACCAACTTGTTTTGATTGTATTCAGCGAAAGTAAGTGCAATGTATTTGGATACAAGATGTCTGTTAATTGTGCACACGGAATATTGGTACCACCTTGTCCCCAAAGGAAGCCAGAGGCAACGTGCCACCGGATCACGCATATCTCTCAATGACCCAAAATGCTATGATGTTGCAAGCGATCGCGTAGCACTAGTTAGTGATTCCACCCATTGGACGATTATAAATGCTAGCTGACTTGCCAAAGGATTAAACACAAACTAGCTTTTACGGAACTACTAAGTACCATCACTGCCTGTTAGTGTTCGAGTGCTGCTCAAGCAAACACTCGGGAGAATATCGCAAGGCACAATCGCTGTGCGAAACCTGTTAACTCCCATGGTTACAAGTGGCAAGCAAAACGAATCCCCAACTGTACCACAATTAGCGGCAGTAGTTGCTTGTACTTGCAACCATGACATACTTTCAAAACTTAGTTCACAAAAGTTGTTACCCATCGCTTATGCGCTTTCTCCAGATTTTCAAATCTCACGAAGCCCCGCTGGCTCATCAGATATCATTTCCAAAATCCCACTCCTATGTAACCAGCACACGTGAGTTTAACCTTGCCCACATTTCGGATGTGTACGTAGACTAAGCAGAGAGTATACAAAGGGAAGAGCACAGGAATGAGTTCAGACTTCGGTCATTCAAATCGTAGGTCACGTTCCTGTGCATGCTCCTTATCCTGTAATACTTAAAATGATACCGGACTAAAATTATTATACGATGTTACCTAATATTCTGTGAAAGACCATGTATCCCCTCGTGCTAGTTCACCTAAAGGCGCTAGGTGTCCTGTATGGATAATGCCAACAACGGGCTCTTAGGATCAGTGCAAAACTTAAAATGATCCTATCTCTATACACCATTTTAGTTCCATAGCGGCCAATGAGTTGCACGGAGTAAATTGTAATAAATTGCAATCTATTTCATCATAGAATGGCTTATGTTTCCTTTGGTCTCGTTTGCTGAAGTAATTTGACTAACAAGACATTAGGGTGAGAAATAGTGGAGCAGTAGGCAGGAAATATGATATATTAGACCATTATAACGTTCCACAAGATTTTAACTTGTGATGTATCTGTCTTTAATACTGAGTTTGACTAAATGGGGGAGTTTTGGTGAGAACACTATCTACGAAGCATTACTCCGTATGTTATGTTTCTTCATTATGTTAATCAACCCAAAACATGTCTGCATACAAATAACAAACAAATGTCAGGTTGTGCCGTCAAACTTTCATATTATCGTGGCATGTGGCATTTTCCATATATAGAACAATGGCTGATGAGTTTATAATTAGCTAGAGCAGCTGCACCTCATCATGTCATTGGCGGTGTGGGGGAACTGACACAGTAAACTAGCGCAGTCCCTGAAAATGGGGACGCTGATATCCTCCGGTTTCTGGGCCTCTTACGTGACTTTCAGGACTCAGCATTCCCCACGACAAGAATAGACGTATAAAGAAACCTACAACATTTCACCAAGCATGGTATGGCAATCTCCACATATGTCGTCACACCTCAGCATCATTAGCTAAGCATTTATTATTAAATATGAATCCGTAATTGAAGCCTATACAGGTTTTGTTATATGTTACAGTGTTTGGTATTGAAGTTCAAAAAGGATCAGTATCGGAACAGCCAACTGAAAGTGATATGAAATTACCGTCGTTTCAGCACAGTGTCAGCGTAAGTCAAGAAATCTCAAGTGTTTCCTTTAATAAAATTTGTGGAACCGTGTGCACCCCCAAGTTCTGCATTTTACTGTAAACTGCTTATTTAATCATTGTCTAATGATTTGTCCATTAGTCAGCTTCTATGAGATTTCCGCTGAGAACTCAGTTCCGTACTCGCCCGAGATAATCTTGATACCTTTCGGTGAGAGTAGCTAATAAACTGTTGGGATGCGAAATTTCATGAACAAAGGAGAGTTGAACTGCGACCTAAGCTACGCTTATAGTTCCACTAAGGAATCTGATTTGCTCGAATTGTGCGGTCAGCTGACAAAACCACATTTTGCCTATTGTTGAGCTAATCAGCCAGTATGGGTCACAAAAGAGCTACTCAGAGCCAACGTATCGGGTAGGCTTGTGCAAGCTGAGCTAACGTAGAAGACTAAGAACGTCTGTATTCCGGTCATATTAACTAAGTACGCCTACAGGATACAGATCAGGTAATGAGTAACAGTGATCCACACACCATCCTATTTGCAAGGTGGGGGCAACAGGTGATGGATTAAATACAGTCAGACAAATGTATGATTGTAGAATGTAGTGATTACAACGTTCCAGCTAAAAGGCAATGAAACAGCGATGTCTCTAGCCTCGCTAAAGTGGTTTTCCATATTATGCTGACAGTGAGAATCCCTCTATGCTTTTCTCATTTGAGGAAAGGGGAAGCTCGGATGTGGAGTATAAATGGCACACTTGACCGTTAACATAATGTGTTGGGTGGGATTAGCTTGACGCATCATATAAGTGCATTATTAATTATTTGAATGTGAACTGGAACGTGCATAAAGGGACCGTCGTATTTGGTTTGTCAATCTACTGTTTACTTGTTGTTTCAGAAAACTATAATGTATTCCCTCGCCACTGTCCCTAAAACGATGCCTTAGGCATTGTGATCCACATTGAAGTGAACCTTGGTCACTGCGATCACTGGGACCGTAGTTGAAGCAGATGGAAACCGCGTGTTGTCCACTGTGTTTGCGGGCCAACACAACTGTCAACAAGTCCTAATTCACTTTACTAGTGGGTGCTCAAAGTTCTATCACCTTAGGCAGAGAATAAAGCTTTTACCACTCACAACTGTTAGTTACTTTGGCTTCTTTCCATGCACCGAAGTGTACTTTACACAAAATTTCCATGATCAAAACCGCTATTATTATCTCTGCCATCACATGCTTTCAAACCTAGATCACCCCCAAGAAGCTGTTGATTCTGTATCAATGTTCGAAGTGCCACAACACAATGGATTCATCTGAAATGCTTCGGTATTCGAGTTATTTCTATCACACCGGGTGTGCCAAATGCTGCGTTTGTCAGGCCGGTCCCACGTAAGTGGTAGTATATACAAGCAATCGTACGAAATGTCCAGTAAACTAGGTACCAAAGGAAGTAGGGGTTCTGTGTTACTGGTCGACACAAAGAGTATCATAAATGTTTAGTTCATGCACCAGTTACCTTGGAAGTTAAGATTAAATAAACAACGCATTCTAGACTCTAAATCAAGTGAACCGGACAGAGAGAGTAATGCGCCGAGAAGGTGATAAGCCCGCTACCGTATAAGTATGAATTAGGAAAGACACAAGAGAATCGCGCTATCATTAGGTCCTATCTATCTGTTGTCCAAATGATTCAAAACGTTTGAACCCCTTGGTGATAAATCGGACAGGAATGTGACCTTTTGGCATTTTTCCAAATCAACCTGCTCTTCCGGTTGCACAGGAACAAACACATTGCGGTAACGAAGAGTAGCTTTATTTTCCCTATGCAGTAGGGACAATGTATGAACTTCTACCAAGGGATGGGGGTAATTTGGCCATGCGCACTTTCAGCAATTACTACTTTATAAGAAAATACAGTTATTCTCTAGATTTATAGAAGCGACGTTTCGGTACGGACTTTGAGTGTTCGATTTAGTGTGAAATGATTTCCTGCTGCTTATCACCTTAAATCAGTCTTCGACACCATTGTACCATAAAACACATACCTAATCAATTTGCTCCATCTCATTAAGATTGGTATTCAAATAGTTTAGCTCTTTCTGTACCTGTACCAAGTGCATATCACTTTCGATAATTATGAATTTACATATGTTAAAGTCACAATGGAAATAGAGATATGATACCTTTGACTCATAGCTTTCTATTGATCCGTTGCCGCAGCTTAACTGTAGCATCTGAAGGGTCACGGTGTGACCGTTGCAACGCCTTGCTCACTTGTGACCCATCAGTGCTTCAATGCTTATCTAAGCAGTGAATCCGATCCGTGCATAGCCGCTGACCGAAGTATAAGCATTTATTCATTCACAGGCAACATAGTACTCTAGGAGTGAGATCTAACAATTACATTGCCGCACGTGCCTGGAGCGATGGGTGTCATGAGGTTTAAAGGTGATCCCGCTTCTACGAAATACATATCATGTGTCTTCCACTGGTTTCTCCTTTCCTCATTCCCGTTACAGTCAAGAGCAACTTCTGCAATTCAATGGTAGACTTTACTGCGGACTGCATCAAAGTGAAAGGTGACATTTGATGACATTTGATGTGGTGAGGTTTGGTGTTTCGTACAAAAGTTTGTTCAACCTAACCGAACTGGATAAAATAAAGTCGGTATTTCTATAAACATGCGTATTTTGACCACATTGTGATAGGTACTCCTCAGCTGTTATTATTAGAGGAAGCAAACTTCGGTTCCGACGGTTGTGAATATTAAATTGCACCGCAACGAACAAATTTTTTCGCTTACATTCCTCAATTAAGCTCCCTAAGTAGACAGCTTTCAGCAAAAATCTTGTCGCCAGCTGGAAGCTCGATACGCTTAGCTAGTTGAGAACGGTGAACATCTCTTTGTTTTGTAGGAAAAGGGATTATTTATTGAGACCTGGGGATAGCTAGCACTACAACGTTGATAGCGGTGGAATTAGCTTGAGAAGCGGTGACCACGAAGCAGAACAATCTGGTCAGTGGATAAAGCTACTAGCCTGTTCTCATAAACAGACAATGCTTGCAAAAACGAAATCCACGGAAGCCTTCTCCTGGCGGAACTCGTTCGAGCAAAGTACGGGAGTTTGGAAATCTTGTGGACAAACCTGTAACGCAGCATGTAATCCAATTGCTACCATACATCCATCACATTTATGGTGGAGAAATGCAGGATGAGGGCACGGTAGACAGATACCTGATTGAAGCTTTTATCCCTGGCTGACGGTGTGTGATTACCGTAGTGAACTACAAATATAAAATCGGAGAACATCACAAGTAAATAAAAGTGGGTGAAGCGTGGCTAATTGTAATCAGTGCTTTTGCGCTGTTGGAAGATATTTGTGAGCTTTAAGGGAACCAGCTACAAGTGGGTTGAGTGTCTTTGGATGAGACCTGACTTAGATTTATGTGAACCTAACTACTTCGCAAATGATGCAAGCAGTTTTTGTTGTAACGCTACTTCCGAATCGACTGCATGGTACTTCAAATTCAACCACAGTAAGCGAGCCAAAAGCACACGGCTTAATAATTTTCTCGCCATAAAGACGGTTACATTGATGGGCCAACATAGGAAGTTTCTGCTTTTCAGTCATTTTTGCCGTGGCTTCGATATCCAAGTTTATTTTGTGTGGCCGATTGACCACCTTAGTTCACAATGCTTGGCTATCTGCGCATGGCCAATCACCGTCACGCATCTTTTTATTCCTGTGCCACATGTGCTGATGTGCTTAGGAAATTTGTGTTTTATAGACAGCCCACGTGTCATTGCTCCGACAGAATATGTGGGCATGCCAAGCTGAGTCCCTCAAGACCCTGCATTAACCATTATTTCTCCTTAGGAAGGGTAAACCACTTCCGGAGAGTGGATTTTGACTTCTTATTCACATTTCACAAGCCTGTTGCGTTATGGTAAATTCCACAACGCTATACCAGAGAACCAGTTGTTTAAGAAGCACCAGCTAGTTGCGCTAATAGGATCAGGCAGGTTATCATTGATAATTACAACAGGAGATACTTCGGTATGTTATTAAAATATTCAGTGCAGCAAGTGTGTTGCGTATTCACTGCAGCCCAAAGGAGTGCCATTCTTACTACATCGACCAAGCGTCTTTTTGTTGATGAACACGAAATCCAACATGGCCGGTTTGTTTCCTGTCCTGACTCGTGTTGGAGAGATACGTGTCGGTTTTGATGAACCAGCCATTATCTCTTGCAGTTCCTTGTCGGTTGGCTCACCGAAATTGACTTAGGTTTCTAAGGCATACATATAAAAGTTTCGTATCACGGGAACATGGTTGTGGAGCCATACCATTAAGCTCTCAAAACCAGGATGTAGAACATAGTCCTTAGTCGATTCCGAAAGTGGAGATTTGGCAAATGTAGGATTCGGAGTAGATTGCCCTTGTGGCAGTAGGGCAGCGCGTTGGCCGATCCTTTTCACCTCAAAACCTGAGGAACAGTTAACTGTTGACAAACATCTGATAGCTCTTCGTTGTTTTCGGTTTAATTTTACTGAGGCTATACTGGTTTAATTCCTCCTCACTCCAATAATACAGCCTTCAGGGTAAAGCCCGGTAGCTTTTCATTGATCCGCCGGTAACTTGGTTAAAACCCTAATCACGATATGTACGCTCTTTCAACGCTGAGGATGTCGAGAAAATGACTAGGTAGGGTTGGGCTAGGTTGTCCACAGACGAAGCGTAGAAGATTGTCTAATTTACTGAAATTGAGAGAGTGCTTGTAATTGTAAGTTTTGACTTCACGCTCTCGTAGTTATAAATAGTTGTAATCGAAATTGACAATCGATCCTTGAATCACAAGGTTTGTACAAAAAGAAAGCGAACTTTTGCAATAACATCGTTATTGCTTAATTTACAACATTTAAGCACTATCCACCTCAAGGTAGTCCCCTCTATTGGCTGTATACGTTCTCAAAGGTGCTTCCATTTCTGGAAAACGTCCTGGAACAACACTGGGAACAACAGACAGGGCTCTTGTCACATTGTCCTCAAATCTTGAGTCTCACGCTAGAGCAGATCAGATCAAAGCAGATTAACCCAAGTTAGTTGAGGGTGAGAAACACACCTAAGCCAACGTGCCGCAGTACAAAATATAGGATACTAAAAGAATTACGCTACAAAAGACTTCAAGCAACTAATATGATGTTAAACATTATATTATGCGTTGTGCATGAGAAGGAAATTTGATGGGAAATGTAAAGGGGAGGGGATGGACAACGAAACTCACAACACAAACGACATTAGTGCCGGCTCTTTGCTATATCTGCAAGTGTGTCCAGCCAAATGTGTTCATCGTCCTTAGGACCCCAGCCAGGCAGTTGGCGTGCACCAACCGACGTCAGCTTCGAAGTGAGGGTTTTCATTTCTCTCAACCAAGTCATCACTTGGCCTCCCCTCCTCCTCTTCCAACCGCAACCACAACGCGCAAACAATGCATTTCGCGGGAGTTGGTGTGCGCAAGACATGGCCCAGACGTCGGAGCCTTTTCATTAGAGCTCGGTATGCTGGCTCTCTTTCCGGCGTTCCGCTATCCATGAACGAAGGCCTTTCGCAGTTTGGACTTAATACGCATGTGTGCAAATTCCGTAAGTAACTGCCCTGACATCTTAGGCATTTGAGTAATCAAAAAAGATACCACTCTCGAATACTTTTCAAAAGTACGGTAATGTTCTGCTTCTTAAGCACCCACCGGATAACCTCCAGTTTTCTATGCATAGGCAGTTCCTACTGCCCCAGTTTAGTCCGGGGTACGTCACAGTTTTGAATTTATGAATTTTTGCAAGCTGTGCTTCAAGGGCGGCTTTGAGATCTACTATATAATAAGCCGTGCGGCACCTCGCTCCAAATGACCATTCTGCCCTCTACTTCCGAGTCCATGGTCTGCATTCTGGGAAACAGAGATGAAGAGATTCCATCATAACGAGCCTAACAGTGACTCATGTTTCTCGACAGGTTTACTAAGAACACTCAATGTTGTCGTGAACTAGGCAGCCATGACTTTAATGTATCAACACAAGAGACCACTATAATAGATAATTTTGGTTACCATAAAAGAAGCCAGTCTTTTAACAACCAATATTTCGCATGCATTTCGACTAGCATAACCGTGTCGTTTACGCAGTAGCACGCAATTTCTTCTTCTTGGGTGGCAGGTTACATCAGTGTCCTCTTATTAAAACGTTTCCGGCGGGAAACCCCCAATATCTATGTGTTTCCGTATAAAAATGTGCCAGGACAAAATAATCTTCCCGTGTAGTCCATCGTTATAGAGCGAATTAGCAAGTCAAGGATGAAAATTGTTCACTCGATTATCAGGCTAC